TTAACACTGAGATCTCGTGCCATTTCTCCATTAGTAACTTTGAATGGATCTCCATTGGGATTTCCATGATGAATGGTAATTTTTTCGTCCAAGCGACCATTTTGTGGACAATCGAGTCACCGATCCTGCACAGCTTATCGCCGATCTCGGATGTGTCGTGCAGGAGGTCCGGTAGATGGCGCACGGTAGCGATGTCCTCCATCGCGTCGCAGTCGATCAATGCCCTGATCATGTGCAGCGCTCTCTCTAGAGGGACCGCTCGATCCCGCGACGATGATACTGCGCTCTCCAGTCTCGCTCTCAAGTGTACCACCTAAAGAAGACAAGTTGTCGATGAAACATTTAACGTATTCCTAAATTAAGAAATATTTAAAATCCTTTTGGAGCGACTTACCTCGCTAGGGTTGGTCAATGCAGTCTTAAGTATGGTCCCGTTGACGAGGTGCGGTGGGATCGGTGGAAGAGGGTCCTTAGGCTTCTCCGGCGGTGATGCCCTGCTCGTTGTTGTCGCTGCTTTTGCGTTAGTTTTTTTATGCTTCTTATATTTATACTTATACATATTGTACACTGCGCCACTGTTACGGCCACCCGGCATGCGGTCTTCTCGTACAGCTGGTATACAAAAAAGAAGTTAGTACATGAATACATTAAGTAGTTAGCTACATTACTTTTAGAGATAAAGAATACAAACCTTGTAATACCATTCCCTGTTCAATGCACTTCTTAAACCGGCAATATTGGCATCTATTTCTTTGCGCCTTCGTGATTTCACAACCACCGTCAGCAACGCATGTGTAAACCCGTCGATTCTGCACAGTCCGTTTGAAGAAGCCTTTACAACCTTCGCACGTGATGATGCCGTAATGTAATCCAGTCGCTTTGTCCTCACATATCATACAAATCATAGGTTGTTCATCCTCGTCGCGCTCGGTTTCTGGAGCATACGCGCGTAGTTCAGGACGAGGAATTGAAAGAGAGCTCGCACTCGCGATCGCCGATGTTCCTGACATGCTGCTCGCTGATGGACTAAGATTTAGTG